TCAACGACATTTTCCTTAAAAATAGCTAGACAATCTTCAGGGAATGTACGTTCTGGCATATGATGAGAATATAGGCATTGCTTCAAATGTAATTTGCTCGTTAGACTTTTCGTCATGCATAATTGCTCCAATTGCAATCATAATGCAGTGACTAACTTCTCTTTCAAAACGTCCAGAAAAATATTATTTGAAAGATGAATTTGAGCTCTTAATTTGATCAAAACCTCGATATTCTAAGAATTTCCAAGTCTTTAGCTCTGTACCCGTTTGCTGAAAATGAAGATGATATCAAATTTGTTGACATATGGTTGATTTCGAGTTTTGATTATAACAAATAAATTATTCTTATATCTAACATTTACATTCAAGTTTTCATTGATACATGTTGCGAACTTGGTGGAAATCGAGCATTCACAATCAAGTTTGAAAATCGAGCACTCACGTCAAAACAATTGAAAACAAATCAAGCATTTGCACCAAATTCAAAATCGAGTAACAAAACGTGCACTTGCGCCAAATCAATCGAAGACATTTGACTTAAATGATTTGAATTCATATGTAAAGGTAAAACGCTTTTGTTTGGAATGTTGGAAAATTCAAGTAATAAAAAAGGAAAAGCAATGTCAAAATTAGATTTAAGAAAACACTTTAACAGCATTTTTGGAACTTCAAATATATGAAACTTTAGGACAACGACAGAGGACTATAAATGCCATTTCTCTTTTGAAATAGATTTTTAAATTTTTAATAGTCTACTTTTTAAATTTGTATTACTCATTTTCATATTGTGCTTTTTATGTAGTAATACCTTTCATTTGCTTCATCGCCAAATGTTTACTTTGCGAAGTATTTAATCTCCCAAAGATTATTAGATAGTTTAGACTCGATAGCAAGCACCCCAGGTTCTTGTAAGAGATAGAAATATAATCATAAGTTTTGGTGATTCTTTGAGCTATTCTCGCAAAAATTAATGCGGTCCATTTTATATTATAATCAAATAGAGGTATAATAAATTAATACACTCAATTTGGACTAGTCTGACTCTCTCGAGAGATAATTAGCTACATTCGAAGAATCGAGTCTATCATTAGAAAGTGGGTAGAACATTAAGCCCCTGTTTGTTGTGCATTATTCTACCAAAACTAGAAAAAATTGGATCGTTATTGTACCTTCTAGCAGGCCTTTTTCTGACAAAGCTCTCACAGGTAGGTCCCACTTTGATTAGTAACAGTCACAATTATTCCATTAATGAGTTGAATAATGCCCAACAAACAAGGGGTAAATTTCTTTTTGCGAAATTAATTTGGCGACATTTGGGGTGAAATCATGATTTCCAACACATTTTGAAAGTTTTTCAAAAACTCACTTTTACTTGTTTTCATTTTTCTAATTGCCTTTCATTTAAGTAGTTGACTAAACTAGAGTTAAATTACTCTAGTACAACTAGATCAATCCTCATGGGTTCGAAACATCTTATCAGTTTATTACTTGTTCACAGCCTATACACTGATGATATTGCATCGTTTATAAGTACAAGATTTTGACGCCGTTATCGGAGATTGGACTTTTTTGTTTTAGGTTGTTTATTCTATTTTAATTAAGTTGTCTTCAGTTTTCAGTTTTATGTTTTTTATTTTAAGAAATGGCAATATATTATTTGCTTCCCGGCATTGATGAGTATGACTTTCCCGTCGAATTATTTTTAACCCATCAGTTATTAATGAAGATGACTTACCCTTGAGAGAATTATGAAAACCAGCGGTCACACAGTCTTTGTTCCTACTGCACTTACAATTCAAGTTGGGAAAAACTACCAAGATCAATGAGAACCACTTCTACTGGACTTCCAACAAAAATAACTACAACAAGAGGAAGGCTTCCCTTGAAAATGTCTTTGCTCAATTCACCAACAAGACCGATTCAATGCTCCGAAATCAATCCGCTTCCACCAATAATGTCGAGACAAAACTCAGTCAATTAACTTGATCGATGTCGGATGAACCCATCGATGGAATTTGTGCAACCACTGCAATAGGGAGTGAGGCAAAATTGACCGAAAGTAAGGAAAAGCAACAAATCATCCAACCCAAGAGATCACCGACTAAAGAAGAACAATGTTGAGGAGGAGGAGTTAATCTTCACGGAGCAAAACGAAAAAGTGACATTCAATGATGTTGGAACTATCAAGCAATCCTATGACTCAAATGATTGTTGTAAAATTGATTTTGTGCTTAAAGCCGATGAAAAGGTTAAAATCTTCATAGTTGAGTTTAAACCGGGTGGTACAACTTTAAAATGTCAAATATCAAAACTTTCTCACTCTAAAAAAGTAAACTCGAATCAATGTAAAAAATTAAGATCAATCCTCTAAAAAATTCTAACATTCTTCGATTGAATGACACTTTCCGACCAAAATAATGTCGAAAATTCCATCTTTCCTTGTTCTACAAACAAGTTGGCTCCCACACACATAAAGCCCTCAAAAAAGGGCAAAATTTAGCCCAAATTCGGAAGAAAACTTGATTGTTGGCTTTAAATAATCATTCTATTTCTTAGTCAACAAATATAGCCCATGTTTGGTTGGGATTGCATTAAAATATCACGACAAAATTAACAGTTAATTCTAATCATATATTTCATGAAAATCCATAACTTTTCAAAATCTGATTTTTACCTTGACCAAACAAGCGCACAATCTCTTTTTGAACGTCCAACAATCATATCTCAAATAGGCCAATTACACTTTAACAATACATGCTAAAATCGCATTTTCGTCGTGCGACTTTAGTCCAGGGACTTTAGCCATCGCTTGGAGCTGATAATACCCCCGTTTTACTCCGGGAAATTTGGCCAAACAGCCTGGTAAGAGAATGATTTTGGACAAATTGACCAGAATTAAACAAAAAAAAAAAATTCAAAAGGTTTTAATTGATAAAAAGACAAAATTGCCATTCACTTTTTAACCTAAAATCCATCTAATTTTCCCTCATTTCACCCATTTAACCAACGTCATCCATCTTCTCCAAATCCATAAGAGAACTCAACGACCCCGACGTAATACATTTGGTCCAATTATTTGCTTTTCCATTTCTCCAACGGTCGGCGAATTTTTCGTCCTTCGAAGTCGCGAGCACCATCACTTGCGGCGGAATAGTTAAAGAATGGTTTGAAGTTAGAACCTTTGGTAAGTATGATTAAAAGATCTGTAGCAAACCTTTGGACAAAATTATATTTGATGTTGCTCAAAAAGGTCCGTAGTCACGATGCCAAATCTGCCAGATTTAATTGTTATTTCTTGCGATGTAAAACGACACTACAGTCGTTATCTGCAACGTAAAACGACACTACAGTCGTTATCTGCTGTAATTTGATTTTTTCAACGAAATGACCTCTAATAATGGACTTACTAACATGTATAACAAAAAAAAATTAACTAGCTACAAAAAACGATTGAAATGACATAACTTTTATATTATTGAGATAATGAAAGCACAAGTCGTCTTATTCATATGTGTTGATTAAGTTAATGAACATTCATCTCAATATTATACGTGCCATGTGCATATTACAATATAAATAAATTTCAATTATTATTTTCATGGGATGAATGGGTTGTGATTGCTTATACTCGTATTTAGATATGTAACATGACAAGTGTCGTTTTCATGTCCAGTAACGACACTGGTTTTGTTCCGAAATTTTCAACAGACAATATTTTAACAGACTCCCTAAATTATGTAACATAGGGAAGTTATAAAAATATCTAAGATGACTGTACAAATGACATTATAACGATACACAAGCGTCCTTGTGGTGGAAAAGAAGCAAAATATTGAAGAAACCAAAAAAAAGTATTTGCGAAAATATGGGGGGTAGGCCCCCTTCCCGGGTCCACCCCCGAATTTTTTTTTAATTATGAGGATTGAAAACGACTACTTTGAGTACCAAAATAAACAAGCTAGATTGACTATCCAAAAAGACAATCAGTTTATCGACCTTTTTAAGTTAGGTGGTCCAATACTTGACGTCGTTCCTCTGGAAAAGTAGCAAAATATTGGAGAAATCAACAAAACGACAAAAGTGTCGTTACTGCTTTTAGAACGTCTACCAGAACGACAGAACTGTCGTTCTGCATCTAAAATTGATTTTGAAGAGCCGCGACCCCTCCAAGCCACGATAACGATGAGTTGAATTCATTTAAGTTGCAGGCTAAACACTCCGCTTACAACATTCGGAATTTATGATCATTACTTAGTCAAGAGGAAAAAAGAAAACGACATAACTGCCGTTACTGTTTTGAAAACGGCACAAGTGTCGTTCTGGCTCTAAAATAGATTTTGAAGAGCCACGATCCATCCAAACCACGATAATGATGAGTTGAACTCATTTAAGTTGCAGATTGAACACACACCGATTACAACATTCGAAATTTATGCTCTTTACTTAATCAAGAGGAAAAAAGACCAATAAAAAGACCAATGTACACCAAATTACCAAAAATACCTTTCTTTTTTCTTCAAATATTTAGAGGTTTTAATGTAGATAATTTAAAAATCAAAATTCTTGTTCAAATACTCAAAATGTAGGAAAATATAGGTGAGTAATACAATAAATAACAAGATTTTGTGGGGGGAAGCAAGCACAGGAGATGCCGAGATGGAGAGCTCGTGTTAATTGGATTGGAGACGAATTGAGAAATTTAATGGATTGAAAGGGTATTTGAGTCTTTTGATGATAGGAATATTTTGGACCTTTTATACCATTTATTTATTCTATTTTTTAATGGAGGTCATTTTATCAACAAACATTGAGAAAATCCTTTTTGTCCAAATATATTGTTTGATTAGGCTGTTCAAGAGTCCCTTTTACTCCTATATATACGTTTCCCGCCACTCTCTCTATCTTGCCCCCAAGAAAATAAACCTACCAGTCTCTTCCATACAGTTAGTGCCCTAGTGTGTGTGAAGTGGGTTTTTGGCGATCAAGAAGAAGAAGGGAAGATGTTGTGGGTAGACAAGTACCGCCCCAAATCCCTAGACAAGGTGTTAGTCCACCAGGACATCGCCGAAAATCTCAAGAAACTGGTAATTTTAAAATATAATTCCATGTATTTTGAAAAAAATTGTTTGGATGTTTGTTATGTCCCCAGTCCTAATTTACCGTGTTAATTAATAGGTGACGGAGCAAGATTGTCCCCATTTACTGTTCTACGGGCCATCCGGGTCGGGTAAGAAAACCCTAATCATGGCACTTCTCAGACAAATGTTTGGTGCCAGCGCCGATAAGGTGAAGTTTGCTCCTTTACCCTTTTTTTTAATTACTGGCTGTGGGAATTTACCAGGGCCTCAGCAAGGTACTGATTTTGAAACGAAGTGTACAACGTGTTGAAAAACCTTGATGTTGCATTATTATCTTTCAAATAAACGAAGGATATTGTGAAATTCTATATTACATGTCATAATGCCACAGGCCCTCAGTCACGTTACTTTAAAAGGACAAAACAAATCCTTTTTACTACACTACTTTCAGAATTATATTCACATTAATTTGGATGTTTGATGTGAAATTTGATGTCTGAGAAAGGTATAGTTTGTAATATGAATTGTAAGATGCGTATTGCACTTGTGAGGTCGGAGCTGTTTTAATGCTATTGTTTGTCTTTGGTGAATGGAATTTTGTTTCTGATAGTTTTTTCATTTTTATCTGCAGGTGAAGGTAGAAAACAAGAACTGGAAAATTGATGTAAGTTTCTTCCTCATCTTATACCGGTCACATTGCACACGGACCATTTCCTTATAAATATATATTTATGTGGTCAAAGTTATATTCTACTTGGAGCAAATCCTTACTGCTCGATTAACTTGCTGTTTTGCATTTGAAAGTCAATTTGATGTTACAACAACAAATTTCTGTTTCAAGGCTGGGACTAGAACCATTGACGTGGAGCTTACAACACTGTCAAGCACCCACCATGTGGAATTGAATCCCAGTGATGCAGGATTTCAAGACCGATATGTAGTTCAAGAGATTATTAAGGAAATGGCAAAGAATCGACCCATTGACACTAAAGGGAAAAAGGGTTTCAAAGGTATCTTGACTTATCACCTTATCTATTTTTTGACTCATGGGAAAGTACTGCTTCAGCATCAAGTGCATGTTTGGTAGACAATATTGAAAACAATTGGACTGTATAACAAACAAGGTTTTAACATATTTTTTATTCCTTATTGTTATCCCCTACTGTCCAATTTTCCCTACCAAACATGCACCAAAGGTGGTACTACTTCTGAATTCCTCGGACAAAAAATAATATAATTATAGTTGTCTTATCTTATTGAAAAATGCTTTCTGAATAAAGATGCATAATTTCAAAATGAAGACTGTAATGTCTTTCATTAATTATACCAATTTGGTACAAGTTGCACAGTGTTTCTAAGATGCTGACATTTAGTAGTGCATTTACAGTCTTAGTTCTCAATGAGGTCGACAAACTCTCAAGAGAAGCCCAGCACTCTCTTCGAAGAACAATGGAGAAATATAGTGCATCTTGTCGTCTGATTCTCTGCTGCAACAGTTCTTCGAAGGTGACAGAAGCAGTCCGCTCGCGTTGCCTAAATATGCGAATAAGTTCACCTACTGAAGAAGAGGTCAGTATTGCCCTCTGTATGTCTTTCCTCATGAAAGAAAATCCTCCCAAGTTTTTGTATGCTATACTGGACAAGTCCTTAAGAGGCTTTGAGAAGTTTAACAACAATGCCTGCATCAACAATGTTGTGGATGGAGTATTATGCTTTGAGACCAGAGTGTTTGGTTGGATCTTCTCCATGTTTCGTCTACCTTATAACTAAGTGAAACTTATCAATAATTTTATATTTTAAACGTTATTTGAGCTTATAAATTATCTTTACTTAAAAAAAAAAAAATACTCGTGTCATTAAAAACTTGCCATATTTGTGTGTGACATTAGTTTTCTGTTCCCTGATTCCTTCAATGCAAAATCCTATGTGCTGTTTATGAACTTCAATGATGCTTGCTTAGCATGCCATGACATGATTTATACTTGTCAAGTACTTGTTTAATGAACTTGATTCACATGTCAGATTGTTAAGGTGTTGGAATTTATCGGCAAGAAAGAAGGACTGCAACTCCCTCCAGGATTTGCCTCTCGTATAGCACAGCAATCAAATAGAAGCCTGAGAAGGGCAATATTGTCATTTGAGACTTGCCGTGTTCAACAGTTAAGTTTCTTTACATATTCTGGCTTCAGCTGTCAACTGCTTCTATACATCCATTGATTCTGTATAATTTATTATGTGGCTGCCAGAATTGTGTTCACCCCATGCCTTTTCATTTCAGGTACCCTTTTACAAGCAATCAAGCAATACCGCCAATGGACTGGGAGGAATATGTTTCAGAGATTGCGTTGAGCATACTCAAGGAGCAGAGCCCTAAAAGGTTAGGCACCTATCCATCCCATTGCATGACATTTTTGTTTTCAGAAAATATGATACTTCGAATCATCTTCTTATTTTTTTTTCTATTTACTGCTCATGTAAATTGCACTGAAATTTGTGCTATCATGAATAGTTGTAGAGTATGAGAAATGTTATGAAAAACTCGAAGAAAACTTGGTCCACAATAATGTATATTTGAAATATTCGCTCACCCTATAATTTCTTTAGAACATTTCTATTTCACGATCTAAATTAGTTCTTGTCCGAGTAAAGTCTTTAGTATTTCAGTTGAAAAAGTAAAGACAGATATGTGCTTTGTTAAAAGAATAGAGAAATTTATGTATTGATGTTATTATGTATGGTAAAAATGGTTATTCTAATGGTTAAAATAGCTAGAAGTCCAAGTAATAATGGTTTCAGGAGAATACATAATGTTGACAATGTCATGTTTTGGTATCATGATATTGGCACCTTGGCACGTTTTGCATGGTTGCAGACAGTTACTGTTCTAATACATTTGTTTTGCCATACTCTTGGTGCAAAAGATCATGAAAAGCTAAGGAGAAATTTAGGATATTGTAAAGAACACAATGAACAAATCATAGCACAACAGTCAATCCCTGACCAAAAAATTTAGGATGGTATAAAGCTATGTTGTACTTTTTTATTTTATATTATTTATTATGTTGCTGCTGCAATCCTTTTCATGAAACTGTCTTTTTTTTATCTAGGCTGTTTGAAGTCCGAGGAAAGTTGTATGAGCTACTTGTCAATTGCATTCCTCCAGACATCATACTGAAGGTTAATTTCTTATACGGTGTACATTCCTCCCTGTTCCTGTCCCAGTTTATACTGGGGGTAGAAGGAATATCTAAAAAATTATTTCACATAGTACTGAAGAATAATTTTTCCTTTCGTTTTAGAGATTGCTTTATGAACTGTTGAAGAAATTGGATTCGGAACTGAAGCATGAGATCTCTCATTGGGCTGCATATTATGTAAGTTCTAATCCAAAATGCTATTCGTTTTATCCCCTTACCTTGAAGCAATGTTCCAGATAATTAACTCTCTGTTTATTTTTGTTTCCTTTTGCCTTCCTCCTCAACTCTGTATATGCTTGGACTATCTTCAGTATAAATATGACCCAGCCTTGGCGATATCATCACTCTTTTATTTCTTAAAAACAACCTAACATCTTGTAATTCCCTTGTATGCATTTAGAGATTTCTTTTGCATCATTATGTGATCTTTTATTCTTATTAATTGTAGATGGGTGCAGAACTTATACATCAATATTACTGCAGCATATTTTTACTTTTCTCTTGCACCAAGCGATATTAATAATTGTCCTGGTGGTATTTCTTCGCAAAAGGGATAAATTTCATCAGCAGCCACTGAACTTTATACGAAATTTCAGTTGGGCACTAAACTAGTAAGCTTTAATGTGTCTCAATTGGGTCACTGAATTGAGATATCGCTGAAAGTTGAGTGATTGCAAATAAAATTTACCCTTGCAAAAGATCTTCCAGGATTCCATTATACTTGACAATGTACCAAACAAATTTAGGAGCCAGCATGAAGTTGAGTATAGAGCACTGCTTATATTGTTAGATGATAATTGAATTCTTGAATAACTAGGCTTTTCTTTGGATAACAATTAAATGTAATATCTGGATCCTAAAAGATAATGATGCTTGTCTGCTTATCAGTTTCTCTGAAACTTCCATACGTGCTGGTATTATTAGATAAGGAATTTTGGAGCGACAAAATATTTTTTTCTATGCCTCTAAACTTTCTTGCTTTTTGCCCAGCAACATAGGTTACGGCTTGGACAGAAAGCAATATTTCACCTTGAAGGTATGTCAGAAAATTGTCTGAAATCTTGTTAGAATGAGTATATGGCATAATTGTGTGCTAATTGTGCTTTATTTACTTCTGTGTTTAGTTATCTATATTTCAAAAGCCATCGAGGCCGAACTAGTAAGGACTATAATAAACCAAAAAGGGTATATGGCATATTCTCTGTCTCTGGTGTTTCAAAGTTGCACATCGCCCCCATACCTTCTACATTTTAAAGATACTCAAATTACCATTTAACATACCACGAGTATGTCTGGTGCTGATTTTGGCCGAATTGTAATNTATACCGTCCGCCTGGTGCTGATTTTGGCCAAATTGTAATCAAAATTCCGACCGTAGTGGGGCCCACATGTGAGATGGTCGGTCAAGGCTTGCGGTCGAAGTGATATGCAACGGTAGGAAAATGATTTTTTGGGCCATTTTAATTGCTACCAGACAGGCTCCATGTATCTAAGCATGCCCAATAAGCACTTTGGTTTGATTTTTCTGAAGTGGGTGGCAATGATGTGCCTAATGGCTTTTGTACAATTTTTAGTAAGTTAAGACAAGAAATGGGGGTTAAGACTTAAATCAACTATAGTCAACAGATGGAGGGTAGTGATCTTGGTTAGAAAGTATATGGGTAATTTGTCCATCTTTTAATCACAAGGACTGTGCACCTACCACATGGGGTAAAATAATCTTTTCTCAACAGAAAGAGTAATATCAATGGACAATCATGTATTATGAATTACCTCATGATATTCACGCGCATTACGTTGGAATCCTGAAGCACCACCACGAAGGTGCGTCGCGTCTGCCTGCAGTGCAGTAATGTGCCACCCTCGTGCCAGCAGCCAACTCTGGCAGTAGCATATTTTCCACATTTTGCGTATATTTTAAGAAGCTTTATCACTTCTTTAAAAGCATCAGAGTTGTTGATTCATTGTTCCTATTTATCTAACTAGTTTGCTTCAGAAATTTCATGATTTTAAGAAATCAAATCCAAATTGATCAGTGCTTCAGAAATTTCATGATTTTAAGAAATCTCTTCTTTTAGAGCATGTACATAGTGAAGTTTTAGTTTTTGTAAGCCATTGTTTAGATGTCTTAAGAATCTAAAGCTTCTTCAAATGATATGATATGTGCTTATCGCGTCCCACATTGAGTTTTTGGGCTCCAGCTAATCGGAATATATTCATATCAAACTGAGCATCACAGTTCCAAAAAATGTCATATTTTTTCTTAATTCACCAATCTTATATTCTGTAACTGAAGTCACGCTTCAAATATGATTCACCAAATATTATTTATTGCAATAATGTGATTGATTGATGTTTTAGTTCCGTGAACATATTTTTATGTTTTTTTTTCTGGAATGACTTGTATGTCTTTATATCTTATGTGACAACTTCAGCAGTTTAAAATCTTAGCAATATAACTCAGTTTTGGATCATTTGATCATTGTAATGTCTTATTCTGTATGCATGCTCAGAGTAGTTCTATTCAAAATTTTGATCAATACAATTTATTTATCCGATCAATAAAAAAAAGGGAAAGATCAATAACCACACAAAAAAATCAAGAAGCTTACCACTTATCAATCTTGCAGCGTTTGTGGCCAAGTTTATGAGCATCTACAAGGGTTTCCTGATTGAGACATTTGGCTGAAAGTAGATGAAGAAAGGATATGATTTTGTCATCTATTAGCTATAGTTTGACTTGGATGTGGACAAATCAGTCTGTGATGGATTATCTGCTTTTGCTACATTGCATTGAAAATCTTGGTTGACTGGATTCTTGACATTACCATGTATTTAATTTATTTCCGTAATTCTCTAGGAACTGCTTTTATTGCTTCCTTGGTCTTGCGCCCAGTATTGCATTATCAAATACAGAAATCTTTTATGATTTTCTATTTTTCTTCATATTTTTCCAAGAAAACTCATCTTTTATTCAAGAATAACCAAAAAACCCACTACTAGGAGGCAATGGAATATTTTTAAGATGTAATTTAAACTCGCATGTTTTTTTTCTGCTGAAAAATGTCAATAACAGCCTTGGGGCAGCCTTCTCCCCTTTCTCAGGGCGTGCAAGCCTGAAACAACTAGCACTCGCGCTTAGGGGTAGAAAGCTAAACAATGCCTACATATGATATCATTAGTACACTTTTCGGTAATAAAAGTCATTAACTAACTGTTGGCGACCTTGCCGCACGTATGGGAAGAGCACTCTCGGTGCATGACATCTGGTCTCTTCACATCAAAGAACTAGTGATTCATCGAGTACAAAATCAGGCCTTAGAATTGATTAAAATACCGAAGATAATGCAATTTTTACACAATGTACAATGCTCATCTGTTGAATCATCCATTAATTCAAGTACTCAGAAAGGCAGAATTCAAAAGCTGGCTGCTTCCCTTCAGCTAGAAATTGGTCCGTGCAAATAAAACTACACTTGGCCAACAATATTGAGCAACTCTTAACAGATAAATGAATGAACGAAATTGATCAACTATTTCTACTGAGATGAAACATAACCAAAATTGAATCCCTTTTGCCCCATTCATTTCTTCAAAAATTTCGCTCATAATCATTTCATCTCTACGGAACACTTGCACGTGCACGCAGGGTTTCCACCATCTTCAAGATACAAACATTGATATCTCAAAAGTTTCAAGCCCTAATTAACGGTCACCAAAAATTTCTTGGGATATCGACCGACATAACCTCTCCTTGTCCAGATACAATAGTACGAGAAAACCGCCTAGCCCTATGAAGCTTCCTTTTCATTGCCGGAACCTTTCTAGAAACAGCTTGCCATATCATCTGAACAGCATCATTGTCCTTTGATGGATACCGAAACTCGTAAAACTTTTCCACCTCTTTCAGCCTTTTCCATTTCCTCGTCCATTCCTCTTTCCCAATGCTCCTAATAAGGTTTATGAGGAAATTCTTTTTGAGAGCATCCGATATACGGACAAATACGCAGAATTCAGAATAGTCGAGAACATCCTCATAGGGCAGCTCAATTTCATCGCTAATTATGACAGGGACACAGTGGCTGGCAATTGCATCAAATAGACGATTTGAGGATGGAGTATCGCCTGCTATGTTAAGGCAGAATTTGGACGAGTGCATACCCTTTGTGGCTAACTTGACACCGTCTTTTTGGACACTTCCAAATGAGAAATGAACATCTTTTTCATCTTTCAACATGTAGAATAACTCTTGTCGAATTATTCCACCCTGAAATCGGAACCCACAAGTGTTAGACGTGGAAGCATCTAAGGGAACTGATTTTTTCAATTAGCCCATCTTTCCGAATCAGAATATAAAAATTAAAGAAAGATAGTTGAAACAAGGTTGTCTATATTTAGCTGGACGTATTGCAAGAAATATTTAGCCGTCAATTAAGTGCATTTCATAGCTCTGGAATTTATAATAAACACTGCTTAAACAAGCAACTGAAGATTAGTAATGACATGAACAGAGCTATTTCTCCTGTGGTTACCCTGAATACTTTATATTGCTTATATGTAGGACCAATCAACTATCAAAATTATATCATTCCATTGGGACTGCATACTTGTTACATATAATCCTATACTGATGAAAATTTACATAGTAAAAAACAAGTAAACCAGAGGGAAGGGGTAAATTAATCTTAGGAACAAGTGAGCAAAAAATTAATTACCAAAATAACAATTTTGGAAAAGTTGCAAATTTGAGAAGCAGAGCATGATCTGAGATGTAGGAAAGCTGGGATGCTAAAAGAGCATTCTGGAGGACTGTTAACATCTCTTCCATTTTAGACAAAAGTAGCAAGTCTTTTATCTTGTTTTAGTAGCACATTATAGATTCAATTTTGGAGCCATGTGTTGGTCCAGTGTTCTCCCCTCCATAGACATGAAATGGGCAAGTGAGATTAGAAATATTGGCGCCTTTTGGCCTCAAAGCAGAACACCAAATCTCTTTTTGAGTAAAAATATTCACTGTATTGGAATCACAAACAGATGGTAGAGCTTCTTTGCCTTTGATGGGAGATAAATAGAACTTGTGAAGGAACAAAGCTCTCAAAAAAAAAAAAAATTAATATTACTTTTCTGTTTTTCATAGCTAGAAGATGCATTGTACCACACCCTAACTTGCTGGTAGTTTTCCTAATTTTCTTCTAATAAAATTCATATTTTCTGTCAATTGTAGGTTATGCAAATTACATATGGCTATTTATTGAACAAACAATAGAAATGGCAATGCTTGATAGATTAAATCTGTTTGAAGGAGCAAATCATTGTCAGAAACATATGCTTACAATAAAACCAAAGCACTTTTAGCGGCTTGTAAATCATTGAGGGATCAAGGGATGTGAATATAACAAAAACTAAAAGCCTTTTTTGAAGTATATGTTGCGCTTTTCCAAGAGAATGGTTCCTATTGATATTGAAGTGCAGAAAAAAGTTATGGAACATAACTTAATCCTTTCTTTTCTAAATTGTTTATGGAAAACTTTGTTAGAAAATGAAAGAAATTGAAATGACAGACAACAAAGAGACATTTAGACAGTCAAATTTGTTATCTTGAACTGTTTAAGTTAGCATGTAAAGCCAGAACTAAGTTCTAATCAGACATTCTTTAGGATATAAAAAAATTTGAATACAGGGTGCATTGTGAAGATTGAAGAATAGAGAATCAGAACAGGAAACATTAATCCTCAAGGCCAACTATTTGACAACAGAATTACTAACAAAAATTTAACATCAAAATAAAAACCAGACGAGGGAGCATATGTATGGAAGGGATAAAAGTGAACTTACATCTTTTCGATATAAAGCTCCCTGGAAATAGATCAAAGTCGGACGACTATCAAAATCAGCTGAGTCATCGATATAACTTCTGATAACATGCCTATAAGGTGCAATCACGTCTTTCTCAACATTAGCTATGGCTGGGGGATACCTTCCAAAATCTGAAAGAATATATATTGCAGGCCACAGCTTCATCCTTGCATCTAAGAGGCTATTCGGATGGTGTGCAACTATTATATGATCTCTTCCACCAGACTTTTTCCACTCCTCCTGAGCAAACAAAAACCTAACCAATTTTTCCTGTAACAAATAATTTGTACTTTTCTTCTGGTTAGGCTTAAGCTTCGAGAACCGGTTATAGCATATGGATGAAAAGAAAGGAACAAAAAGTACATCAGCTTCACTTGAATTACGCACTCGTACGGCACTACGCCCACTCGAATTTTCAGCTAATTCTGAGTTCAAAAGATCCAATGTTAGCCAATATTCTATACTGTGCTGCAAATTTAATCCACCAGGGTATTCAGGCACCTTTGCACGAACATCTGGCCAAACACTCTTCCCGTCTGCTTTCCAACCCAATAACTCAAAGTGAAATTCCGACGGCAAGTCATACATATAAACCTTCAAAACTTGCTTTTTAGGATCACAATTCTTGGAATATTTATTCCAAGTTGCTTCTTCTTCTTTATCCTTTGAAGCACTCATTGCAGAGGAGTTATCGGAGTTTTCATTATAAGACAACGCAAAAAGCTTGGAATTTGGTAATATGGAAATATCAACAGAGTGATGCGGACCAGTCGATCTTAACACCAAAAACCAAGATAATATGAACACTACTGATGTCATCAAGAACAAACAAAAGAGTGACTTGTGAGTAAGGAGTCCCATTTTCGACATTAAAACCAAAAATTGTAACCTTTATTATTATACCGTCAAAAGAAAATATCAAACTCGGTGACCATTTTAGTTTCACAGATAAAATAAAATATTTGGACAAGAAATTTACTCATTAAGAAAGGAAATATGACCATGAATTTGAACACATCTCATTATAAAATCATATAATTTTTTTTCCACTGTCCCCATTTGTAATCTATAAATTCAGGTAGCACGAGTACAGAAACGCAGTAAATGGAATTTAATACGAGAAACCCACCAAAATACGAAAGAAAAAGAACTTCGTAATGACAAAACAGAGAATCAGAGTTGGGAAACAAAAAAAGGGTTTAATTGACTGGTTGGAAACAGAAAATGCACTTACAAATGAAAAGAAAGAAAACCCAGATGAAGTTTAATCTGAGATACCGACGCAATATATTATTCAAAATAATATGTATAACATATAAACCTGTCTAGAGAGAGAGAGAGAGAGAGAGAGAGCAATGAAAGAGGTTATGATTTGTCGCTACAGGAGATTTTTATCAACGCTGATTTTGATTCTTTTCCTTTCCACAATCACAAATCTCTTACTGCATTTTTGCCTTCATCACCCTGCCTTTACTTTTTCATAGAATAACATTTTTTTCTTGGATATCTTTAAAGCAGTGTGCGAAATAGGAGGTATCTGAAGAAGCGGGCTCTTGGAAAATAAGTGCTTTTTCACTTAGAGAGAGAGAGAGAGAGCAATGAAAGAGGTTATGATTTGTCGCTACAGGAGATTTTTATCAACGCTGATTTTGATTCTTTTCCTTTCCACAATCACAAATCTCTTACTGCATTTTTGCCTTCATCACCCTGCCTTTACTTTTTCATAGAATAACATTTTTTTCTTGGATATCTTTAAAGCAGTGTGCGAAATAGGAGGTATCTGAAGAAGCGGGCTCTTGGAAAATAAGTGCTTTTTCACTT